AAAGTTGCTTGCTAATAACAAAGATGAAACACACACACACACATATATATAATTAGATTTAATTTTGTACAAAAGGAAAAATAAATAGATAAATGAAAAATAAAATAAAAACACAGTTCCAAATTTCACCCTATCCTTTCTTTTGATGTAATCTGTCCAAAAACATTGTAGCTTATATATATATATAATTATATTTAATTTTGTACAGAAGGAAAACTATACAAATACATCAAAAATACGCTTTAAAAAATAAACACGCAGCCTAAAACAAATATCCAACACCAGGGTACAAATCATAAGATCAGGAGTTTTCTGTTATTCAAAATAAAAACCAAAAGGTAGCCGATTATTTTGGAAACAAGCCGTAGTGAACTTCTAAATTGGGGAATTTTGAATGAAAATTATTTTATTTTGAAGCCCTTCAATGGTTTATCTTTTCTTCAAAGTAACCTAAAATCGAAGTTTGCCAGAATTTGCAAGATGCTCTAGGCTTAAATCTTGGGAGTTTTGATGAAAAGGGTTACATTTTGAAAAGCATACACCAAGTGCATCTTTCCAGACGAATAACATGAAAGATAATTTTTAACAAAACTTGATAAACAGTAAGGTAATTTTTATGAAAAATTCTGTTTTTTCTTTAAAGAGGCAAAAAGTGATTTTTTTAGAGTAAAAATATATGTGTGAAATCTCAGATTGTATATATGTTTCCCAGAAAAACATCGAGCATAAAACATTAGTAGTTGAATGAAAAAACAACAACAATAATATATATCTTGCAAAACTTAAAAAGGAGTTTTATCTTATCTAAAATAAAAGCAATTTTAACGATGGTGAAAGTTAAAAACAAGCCGCAATGAACTTTTAGATTTGGAAATTTTGATTTACAATTACCGAATCTAGAATGGTTATTGTATGAGATATTTACACTGTTCACGCGGAAAATTGAATCCCGCATTTCATCGTTTAAATCTGTGAAACTAGGGAAGAAGAGGTCTGAAAGAACCTGACCCTCCCAGGTTGCCTACAACTACACGACCAAGTCACGGTTAAGATACCAAGTTCTTTGAACCTACCGCTGACCTACTGGGGGATAGCTCAGTATTCACTTGCCATATTTAGCCGCGGCATAGCGGCTCATAGAATGACTATGAGTTGGTGTTTTCTTGACCGATTTGAGATCTAATTCCAGTTTTGGACTCAGGAGGTCAAACCATTTCGATTGATGTTTTTCACCACGCCCAATGGCTCATAGATTAATTTACTCTAATCCTGTATAAAATAATTTCAAGTGCCGCGGTTATTGGGGATTCCCGCTTGTTCTTCAGTATCCTAAGATAAAATTATACAATTTTAAGGAACCTTATATATTAGTTTGCCAAAGCTGAAAACGTACAAGTAACGCTATATTTTTATTCATGACAAAGCTACAAAGGACAAGATTAGTAAAAATTTGTAATTTAAAAAGAGGGAATATTGATGGTCGAAAAAATACAGAAACAAGTTTAATCAAAATGCAAAGATTATATTTTCAAGCCTACAACTAGGGACTCTAAAAAAAGCAAACAAACAAGGCTGGAAACTGAGTCTACATTATTTTCTCAAGCTATAAGTACATATTTTGACTCCTCTAAAATTGATAAGTACTGTAGACATGCAGTAAAAATAGGGATTTGTATCTTGAGGAAATAATGTAGACACTAAATAAGTACTGTAGTACTATTGAAAAGGAAGGTTTTGGGTGTTTTTTCAAGAATAAACCTGATTTTTAAGGTGGTTTTTGCCTGAACGTTCTATTAGAGTTTTGAACAAATTCCTGTGCGATCACTGTTATGAACCACTATCGTTGTTGATATTAGTTGCCAACGTCTCTAATTTTGAATTACTGATCACAGGGAAGATAGTCAGTCAGCAACTACCATGCACTCAAAGGAATTAGTTATCAATTATTATAACACACCCAGAGCTTTTTTTTGTGAATGATCACAATATTATAACCAGTCACAGCTTTTCTTGAGGGGGTGGAGGTGGATCTGTGGTTGAGCTCTGGATTACGGAGCTGGCGAGGCAGGTTCGAACCTGTGTGATATTACACCCCTCGTGTAACTTTGCGCGAAATCTATAACAAACCAAACCAAGAACAATCTGCGAACTAAGAACAAAAAATGATTTTATTTCTCATGTTCTGGGACACATCATTCGTGGTGATTGTGATATTTCTTAATTATCTAAATCTAGTCATTTTCTTATACAATATATATATATATTACGATTTGCTTCGTCGCGTTCTTTATCCGAGCGTTAGGAAAGTAACCTAATTAATTTATGTTTTAATAAAATAGACCGAAGTTTTGTGTGTTTAATCTAGATATTTTTGCGCAAGCCAACACAAG